AAAATACACTAAAAAAAATTAACTCTTTTCAGCGGTGATGAAGCCAATCTCCTAGTCCTTGTCACCTAATACAAGTAAAGAAAAAATTTTCAGTGCTACTTCTGTCCTTGATTTTTATCGTTTATTCACCGTTGCACATGATTGCAAATTGGTTCCTTGATACCGACTCTTATAGCTATGTCATAATATAGTGATTATTATATATGAAGATTAGCCTCTATGGAACTATCTGCACAGTAAAATGAGACAAGCTGTGTGCGGAATCAAGTCTTTGAAGGTAAAATGAGGCAATCTACATATACTTCACTGTTCCCCTCCAAAAAAAAAAAAGAGAAGTAAAAAAAAAATTTCGGTGCTAGTTTTGTCCTTGACTTCTATCGTTTATTCACTGTTGTGCATTATTGCTTGAGTACAAATTGGTTCCCTGATGCCATGTCTTATAACGATTTCATATATAGTGATTATTATATATAGAGATCTGCCTATAAGTTTAAGAAAGATTAACTCATATAGGAACTACCTGCATAGTAAAATGAGACAAGCTGTATGTGGAATTAAGTCTTTCAAGGTAAAAATTTCAACTAAAAACTAGGAAGATATTTCTTGATATCTAAAGTGATTGGAGGAGTGGGATTAAGAGGAGATCTTGACTTGGTTTCAAGTTCAAGCTTATCGACTGCTAATAATTCTTTAAGCAAGGCCATATATGCAAGGATTTGAAATCGTGGTGTTGGTTACGTTTTTGCTTTATCTTTATTGGTTTCACTATTTGGGTGTTTGGGTGGTTCATGCAGTTTTCAATTGGAATTGTTGGTACCTGAAATAAGCAAATGTTAAGCACAATCTGCATATTCATTGTCTTCTTTGTTTTCTTTTTTCTTTCTATTTAAACGCCCCCCCCCCCCCCCCCCCCCCCCCCCCCACCCCCCCCCCCCCCCCCCCCCCCCCCCCCCCCCCCCCCCCCCCCCCCACTGTAACAATAGCCAAATCAGCATTCTGCAATAACTACAAACCTTCTAAATTCTAATGCATTAATCTTTCTAATACCATTATTAGCCGATATCTACTATCTACCTATATTACTGTTATTAGCCGATATAGCCAAGTATCAGCTTGGTTCAGCTGGATTTGATAGTCATGCTTAAATCTGCTTTGATATGTCCGTTACATATTGGTATTGGCCCAACTTCATAACATCAAATATGTGTTCTCCAAAATCTCTTGATCATATCAGTTTTCAGTGTCACTTGCACATCTCTGCCTAGAAGGCATCTTTGATTCTTAAAATTATAGATACTACTGGTGCTAAAGGGGCATATCTAAGTCAGTACCTGTTTCTTCCTTCAACTTTGTATTCGGTATGGAGGTTTCGTTTTATTATTCTCAAGAAAATTCTTCGCTGGTATCAGTGAACCGAAATCTCATCCTCCTCCCAGGACACCGATTAGATTACTTAACATATTGATGCAGGATAGGACGCGGGAGGATACGAATGCTAAGAAGGAAAGCAATCACATGATGGAGATCCCTAAAGTGAGCTACGTGCATGCACTAGATGCAAATGCAAACTAATCAGCTAATAACTAAAGGTTTAGTGCAACCCTAAAATGAAAATAGTGATGAATCATGCAAGGGATCACAGAAATATCAATACTTAACGTCATTATAAATTCCCTACAACTCTAAAAAGATTGCAAGATTAACAGTAAGAAATTAACGTCCTATTTAGAGTTCACCTTAGGGGTGTAAAAAATTAACACCCAAATCGTCAAATCAGTGGAAGGAACTAACACCCCAGTCATCAAAGATCCGAATCAGGATTGAGCACTGTTATAAATAGCGGTAAATAGCCCCGCAATAGCGGCGCTAATAGCGTTAGCGGTCCCTTCCCGCGACGCTATCGCCCGCTACGCTATCACGTGATAGCGGTGACATATTGTGGAATATGTGCAAAAGCGGCCAATAGTGTGTCATAACGGTAAATAGTGAGCGATTGTATTCGAATTTTACTTTTTGACTGCTATTTAAAAGCAGTTTGAGGCTTATTTTTTTTTTAAATTAAACTCAACCATTGACCATTGCATTCCACCGTCTCCTGTGATTTTCAGCATACTCCCGTCACCTCTCATAGCCTCTGACACCTACCTTGATACTTCCTTTCACCTCCTTCATCGTGAGCTCCTCTTAGGACAGTCCTGTCACCTCTAAGCTCTTCTTCTTGAAGACGACGACTTTTTGACTTCTCCAGTCATCTTCGATATTACGTGATGGTTACATGTCTATTTCATATTTAGGATCTCTTTAAATCATCCAATATGTACTTTTAGATTTCTTAGATTTTTTTTTTAGTATTTATACATATCAAAATTAGACCGCTATTTGACTTTGTGCTTTTTACCGCTATTTTGCCGCAATAACCCGAAATAGCCTTAGCGATGCCTCACCGCTACGCGATGCTATCCGCTATCGATAACCTTGGGATTGAGTTGAAAGGCTCTGTTGCAAACTAGGTGAACTAATCCATGAATTTGAATAACCAACCAGCCCTCAACTACTTGGATTTGAATTTACCACACCTATAAGCAAAGAGACAATTAATCCACAAGGCAATCAACTTAGATCTGAAATAAACTCGCAATTAAATCTATATAGCAAGCTTAGGGGCTTTGGGAACTTTGTTGTAGATATCGTGAACATTATCGGGGGCGCTGTTCAGGTGAACAGTGACGACGAGGTTAGGTCTTAATTGGGGTAGAGTTTTGTTTGAGTGGAGGGTTGGATATGAGTTGAGAGTATAGTGAGAGGCTGAGATCTAATCAGAATAATTAAATAAAATGTGCTTCACACCCTCATAGCAATTCACATACCAACTTGAAAACTCAGAATTATCATATCAAATAGTCTGCCTTTCACTGAGGCCTTTCACTGAGGCCTTACATCATTATTTATAATCATAAATAAAATAAAATCAAATCCCTAAATCACGCTCAAATCTTAGCAAAAGTAGAAACTAATATAAGATACTATCAATTAAAATCTCTGAGATCATGAAGAATGTATCCAGAATCAATCAATATCCTCCAAATCCAATCACGTGTTTCGTTCTCCTAGAATATACTCTCCATGGATTCCCATCATATATGATATTTTCTCTTAATACTTCCATTTTATTAGTAGCATAAAAAAGGTCTTCTGCTTGGCTTTATATTGATAAACTGCAGGGTTTCATCTGATCATGTTTCAAACTTCACATAGTTATGACTATATTTTCTGCAGTGCTTGCAGATGTTTTTTATAGGTTTCTCCTCCTGTTTCTCTTGAAAATTATATCTTTCTTTTGCTATTACTGTGTAATAACGTACTATGTAATATGAGAATATTGCCCAAGACTAAATGTGTGATACTTTATTTTCTTCAATTGAAAATGTTTACTGCTGAGATTATTGTTTTAGTTTTCTTCTCATGTATGCTATGTTTTCGTGAGAACCTTTTCTCATTTGCAGCTCAGATGGTATATATTTAAATTTCACGCATTTAAATCTATTTATATGGCTTGCAGAATAGCGCCATTTAGAAATAATTCAGTAGACAAGTGGCATAGGAAGACACAGGTAACAACTGGTGCTGCTGCCTTCAAAGGAAAATTGCAGGCCTTCAATCAGGTATTCTTAAAAGCTTGTTTTTCTTACCTTTAACGCATTTTATGTTTGAAATTTTTGGGCTTACTGTACATCTTATATTTGTTAATTGAAGAACATTAGTGAACAAGTAGCTGGTTACATGAGGGATCCAAGCAGAATGATTAAGAGGATGCAGCTGAGGAGGTCTTCTGTTGGTGTTTTGGGAAAAGTAAGTTTATTAACATGAACCTAATTTTATTTTGCATTTTACTAGCAGTGAAATCAATCCTTACTAATTCTTGCATCTTACCTTGCAGATTACTGAGGACTCCGAAATGAAAAGGGAAGAGGTATCAAGCCAATTCTTGTTCTGTGGATGCATTTACTTTTGTTACTTCGATCATCTAAGAGTTATGCATGCCTAGTGAGCAAGATTAGTTAAGACAAGGCACATACTTTTTTAGCATAAGAATGTTCGTAAAAGAAGGATAAATATATAACTAATGCCATTCTGACTGTAATAGGTGCTCCACCAGTTTCTTGTTTAATCTGATACTCCCAAAATTTTGAAATCTTTTTGGGTAACTAAGTTGGTTTTAAGAGTAAATAACTTTTCTATTGTTACATAGTTTTTGTGCTATATTGCAGGATATGATATGACACCACATTAAGACACAATTACAGATTCATAAAAAGAAAACAATCATAAGTATTTTGTCTTATACATGTGTATGGCATGTATCCAATGCCCCATGGCTTCATGGTAGAAATGTTTGTTATATAGTTTCACGGGCTTCTAGAGATATACTACCAGATGTTCATGTGCAGTTTTTCCTGTCTATGTGCCATGCATGTATTCACACATATTTGACTTCATTTGGTTTTGGTAGACATGCTCATTCCCTAAGCTACTTACATTTACTAGATGATTTAGCAAATAACAAGACAATCAGTTTCCTATATATATCATCTAATCCTTATCCCTAGCAAAGTTAGGTCAGATATGAAACACAAACTTAACACTGAGAAATTTCCAGGGAGGTTGCACAAACTTTTGCGACTATCATAAATGTGAAGCTTACCACTTGAGATTTAATGTCAAAGAAAGCTGTGGTTAAGTGGGCAGAATCTGTGTTATTGTCATTACAATTTTAGCTTATGAGTTTCAAATTGTATGAAAATTTTCCAGACTTAAGTGTAGAAGAAGAGGTCTGTGTTACCTAGGTACTTCTATTGGAAGCCGTACCCCCGACAGGCAACGACACCTGTACCCGTACTGACACTTCTGGGATACTTCTTGAATATATGCATACATTTATTCATGCATATACTCAATTATATAATACATGTTTTAATTTAAAGAACTCCTCAGACTTCTTGTTCATATGTTCTACACTTCACTTCTAGTTCTTGTATATTAACTTATGTAAATGAAAACACAATATTGATCTTGTCTAAATTATTAGTTATAATACATACATACATACATACATACATACATACATATACACACATATGTATATGTATATATATATATATATATATATATATATACTACTATATACTAATATATATATATAATATATATATAATATATATTTATAGATTAGAGCAAGAGACGAGAGAGAGAAGCAAGAGCAGACGAGAGAGAGAGAGGATGGGTATACTTGAGTACCAAGCCACAAATTTGTGCCCTTCGGTACGCTGCGATGCGCTGTCTCCATTTCCCATCCACTCAATTTATTGGCCGTGGACCACATTCAATACCATGCCGTGAATGCTCGGTCCCCCACATCCTTGCAAATGACGTGGCCATGCATAATATGCCACCTCACTACCAAGCACAAATTTTTAGTGCTTCCCGTACCAAGCCATACCCATATTCCTCATATATATATATATATATATATATATATATATATATATATATATATATATATATATATATATGTGTGTGTGTGTGTGTGTGTGTGTGTGTGTGTATACTTATATATATTAGCAGTGCCCCCGTACCTACCTTTTACATATTTGTTGTGTCCCATATCCATACCTGTACTTGTACTAGTACCCGTACCATGCAATGTGGGGTGAGCCTGACAAGATTTTCTATAGGAATTTGGATTCACCTATGGTAAACTAAAAGGATTTGCATGCTACAATAATCAATCCACATCAATCGCACACTTTTCCCTTCCGCATCGTATTTCTGAGAAGTACTATAACTTGGAATAACAAAAAACACCAGAAGCATTTATGGAAACTAAAATCAAAGCTATAAACTCAAACCAAAGCCTAAAGCGAGCTCTAAGAATGGCCTGTAATAAGGGTCAGTTAAAATTGCCTAATTCATGAGTTAGGAGAGGCCTAATAAGGGGCTGATCCCGAATTGATAGCTGGATTCGTTCCATGTTCAGGTTCTATATATCCATTCCTTGAACCAGCCTTGCCGCTGCATACATAACAAGCCCGTTCTATTTCTTCTCCTTGGGCTTAAAGACAAGGGCACACAGACCCAAGGCCGTTGTGTTCCAGACCAAGCGGTTGGTTTAGGTGTCTACTAATTATGTATGACAGAACAAAGTTGGGTTTTGAAGGGATAAGAGTGAGGGAGGGGTTTGAGAGATAGAGCAGCTAAGGCTAGAAGTCAATGGAAAATGAGGCTATGCTAGAAGAGATTCTAGAATGTGGAGGATTTAAAGGCTGAAGAAAAGGCTAAGTTCCTTTAGGTTTTCTAGTTTTCTTTTTCTTCTGATTCTTCTTCTTCTTCCGTTTTTTTTTCCTTTTTTTTGGTTCTTTTTTTTAAAGCGGTGGAGGCTGGAGCTTTACGTTGTGTAAATTTAGGCCTGGACCTGATTCATGCCCGTCCACATTTTGATGCGTTCTTTGAACTCTAGAACATGGCCCAAACACTTAAAATTTTCAGTTTCCAGCCATATATTGGTTTTATTGAAATCATGAAGTTCTAGATTCTTTAATTCACTTTTTGAGAAGTCCACAGTTATCCTTGCGCATAGGAAAATACTGATACAAATCTGAGCGAGCTCCAAACTCAGAAATTGTATTCTAGTAGACCAGTAGTCTTATGATATAACCTGGTTTCTGTTCTTGTTTTGGGTGAAACTCCTCTTAAAGTCATTTCTCAAAATTGATAAACCCTTGAAATTTTATTTTCAGCACCCTAAAACCCAACACTCCCACTGTGTGCTACCACGCGTATGTCACATTATTAATTTATTAAAAAAAGCCCTTTTCATACAATAACGGAAATGAGATGAGATGTATACTTCACATTGTTTTGTAGACTGATAAAATCATTTGAGCCATCTACTTTGCAAAGTTAAGGGGTCGTTTTATGTTAATATAAATGAAGTCGTTTTATGTTAATAAATGCTTTAGGTGTCAACTTGTCATGTACTTACTACTAGTATTACATATGATTTGCATGTGGAGGTACTTGTTTTATGTTTTGAATTTTTTTTTCTGTCAACTGGAAATTGGTGGAATGATTTTTATTAGCAATATAAATTCTTAAATTGAACAATTAAAAGTTTCAGTTAATACATGACGTTCAATAAATTTGTGTATGAAGAATGATATTAATATTTGATAATTGGGAATTATCAATTATTGTTTAATTTAATTTAATTTAATTGTTTGATAATGAGTTTTTTATATGGGTCATAATTTAATCATTTGATAATGGGCAGAATCGGGGTTGGCTTCTGATCATTTGATAATGGACATACTTGAGAATTATCAAAATTGTGAGGGCACAAAAGGCAATCAAAAGTTTTGACGTGACAATCCTCTTTTATATGTAGTATAAATAGATTTCCTAATACTACTTTTTTGGGGCTGGGTGTGCCCATGGGGGCTGTACTTTCTGCATATTGACCTCTCTTTTTAAATTATTGTAAGGTTGTTTTCATCGGTCAATTTAATTAAGAAGATACTGGGAAGAAATAGCCAAAATAGTCTAATTTTGGAGGACTGATAAAATTTTATCGTGGATTGTTAACCAAGCCAAAAGTAAAAGAGAAAAGAGAAATTAACCAGGAACCTGCATCATTCAATATGCTTGCAAGTTCTTATTAATAGAAACTTTGTCAAGAATTGGTGCTATATCAGTGCCTTTTCCTTTCAAGAATGCATATGCTTGTATAAGATCTCTACATTTCTCTCAGCATCTGATATGCTCTGATTTTTAAATATCTTGTATGTTTAGGATGGAGATGTCAATGGAGATCCCGAGCTTGTTGATGACGTTGAATTCTACCAGCAACTCCTCAAGGAATTCTTTGAATCATGTGATCTTTCATCATCTGGTATCTCTCCTGACAATGTTCTAGCACCTGTTCTCTTTGACAATGTATTTGTAAGCTGCAAAAGTCCTTTAAACATTTCATATTCTGTAATTTGCTTTCAGAGACGGCCTTTTATGCATTGAAAAAGCTGCAGCCAAAGAAACGAAAGCTAGTTGATCGTCGTGCATCAAAAAGTCGGAAGATAAGGTATTCATCCCTTTGCTAATTCATCTTGAGACAAAAGTCCATTTCAACTTCTTAAATTTTCATTTATATCTTAATTCCAGGTACCATGTTCATGAAAAAATTGCTAATTTCATGGCTCCAATACGGATGGATCTTCCGCCGATGGCACCGAAGTTATTTGAGAATTTATTTGGACTGGGGAATCAGAAAACTTCCTCCATTCCATAATCTACTTCTGTGGGCACGTTATAAAACACAAAAAACCAGCAATAAGGTAAGCAGTTATTATAAACCGGTATTCAGCATTTTTGGTTAATATTTGATAGCAGCAGCGATGGTCAGTATATTTCGTTCAGAAACAGAGAGAAATGGAGGGACAAGGGAGAAAGCTAGGTTGCCCATCCTCTTGCTTTTCATTGAATTTCAGAATATATTATTGGTGAAAACCTCCTCTCAGCTTCATTGAATTCAGAGATTTTGGGTGGAAGCAAATCTGAAGCTTATGAAACGTCTGCAGTGATCAGTGAGTTTTTATTGCAACAAATTTACAAAATAGAGTTGGAGAAGCTTTTGATGTTGCACGTATAAATGTAAGCGTAAAATCTACTAAGCATCAGTTGATCATTTATTATGACACCTAGGCCCTAGGAATATTTTCTTCACGAGAGATGTAATTGGATATATCTTTCCTCTTCTAAAATGTTGACTTATCAAGATTTTACCTGAAGTGGTTTACTGTTGCAGTTAAAATTTGGAGAATTGGAGAAATCGTAAATAATTTTGGATTGTGTACCGATTTGAATTCTGGATTAGTTAATTTGATTTGAAATTTGAATTCGATATGTGGTGCATAAATACTGTTACAACTGTAGGATTTATGGACAGATTGATTTGATTTTGGAAAACCCAAGAGGTAGATTGAATGTGATTTGCATCTTGGTGTGAGATCATAATTTTCGACTCTTCAGTATTTTATTATCTACTCAGTTGGATTTAAGTCCTATAGAACAGTAATACCAGATGTTTTATTCATTAGATCTCATGTGCTTGCACTGTTTAGCATCATGTATATGTTTTCTGAATATCATTTTGAGCTCAAATGACACATTACGCAACTGCAAAAACATTTTCATTTTAATATCTGGTCAACTTTGATTTCATGGGCGGGGGTTTGTTTATTTTACTTGCTAGGGTGCTGAGCATGGTCAAGTGTTATTTGTTGTTAAAATGCTAATTTGGCAGAGTTGGTTGCTGTCTTTTAAAGTCGGAGTAGGGTTGGGGCTGATTTGCCATGTGTCATATTTTGTTATACTAGTTTTTATGCATGTGCATTGCACCTGGTTAAATATCATAATTATTTATTTTTAGTTTATTTCGTTACTAAAATTTGTTCTTTGATTTTAATTTGATAGTTTTACTCACTTATGTCTCTAAAATTTAATATTTTGATTATTTATCTTTTTTAATGTTTCTTTGAATGAGCTACACCTAATTTTAAGTTTCATATTGATGATTGAATTGACACGAAACCAACGTGAAGGCAATTTTAATATTCATGTTATTTTGATCAACATGAAAGGAAGTTTTACCTATAGAAGTATAGTGTTACAAAAGTAAAAAATACTAAAAAATAGCATTATAATAACAAGAGGAATAATTAAAGCCAATAAGCCTTGACAATTGATTAGAAGTGACTAAAATGGCACAAAAGAGAATATGAATCTTAGTCCTAATCATTGATAGACTTTATTAAAAGCCATAAACTAAATATTAATGTTAACTCTATTATAATTTTAGATGATAAAACGTCCACAAAATTAGTATATAAAAATAATTAAAATTTTGTGAAAATCTCTTTCAAATATTCCTAATTTTAGTCAAAACATTAGGCTATTCTATAAAATAGTAAGCAAATATTGTATTTCATTCTTTTTCTTCATTTTTTATTGAGCCAAAATCAAGTTTTCTCACTTTTATCTTTTTCTAGGGTAATTTTGGAGCGGTGTCTTTATCATCTATGCCAATTGTGACATCAGACTGGACCTGAGATTCTCGTGCTATTATATTTTACTTGGCTCATTTATCTTTTATCTTCTCATCTAATTTTTACAAGTAATTTGAATGAGAACAAATGTTAATGAGAATGAATGTTAATTTCATATATATGATAATGTTTCTATGTTTCTAATTCATTATTTAAGTTGAGTTAGGATTGACCTATTTTTTCTTTACAATAAATTCTCGTGTTGTGCACCTAATAAAAATATCTACTGCATCAAATAGTGTTACCTTTGCAATGGTCTAAGTCATCAGAGATTCTATAATACTTATCATTTGGACACTCGTTATTAACATTTATATTCATATTCTTGTTGTGACATTTGCAAGCATAAAGCCACAACTCAAGTCTACCCTAATTAGTAGTTATTTTTACTTTAAATGTGCAATAGCGTATCTGTACATTGGTAAATTTTAATTAGGTTTAATTGTGTGAATTATAGAGTAGGTTTTTTAAGATCATACATCTTTTGAATGTTGTAATGCTTGCATAAAATCGCTAAGTTAAATTTTTGTTGCATTTATAAAGAGCCTTGGTGGAGATGTTTTTGTCTTGATAGCTTGTTCTGAATGAGCCCTACATATTAACTTTAAAATGCAATATTAATTGTTTATTGTGTTATATGGATTTTGCTTGGTTTACTTACCATTTTCTTATTTATTTATTTAGTTGAATTTTTGAGAATTGCGATGGCGTGCACATCTCCCCAGCAAATTTGAGATGGATTTACGGTGAACTTTATGTTTAGTGGTTTTTAATAAGAATTTTTATAACATATATGACACAAAATTGCGATGGCGTGCACATCTCCCCAGCAAATTTGAGATGGATTTACGGTGAACTTTATGTTTAGTGGTTTTTAATAAGAATTTTTATAACATATATGACACAAAATTGCGATGGCGTGCACATCTCCCCAGCAAATTTGAGATGGATTTACGGTGAACTTTATGTTTAGTGGTTTTTAATAAGAATTTTTATAACATATATGACACAAAATTGCGATGGCGTGCACATCTCCCCAGCAAATTTTAGATGGATTTAAGGTGAACTTTATGTTTAGTGGCTTTTAATAAGAATTTTTGTAATGAAATATATCACCTTCATAATTAGAGATCATGAAATCCGATAATGCTGTTATAGGTTTATCTTTGATCATGTCGTAAAGAATTGATCATTTTGTCATAGCCATGTTCTTAAATAGAGTTACACTTAGAGGCAATGCCACTATATAGTAAAAAGAACAAAAAAATATCGATTTTAATTTTTTTTCTTAAGTTATGATAAGTAAGTATCATGTGTATATATTTTATCCATTATAATGATTTTCCACCTTTTGTCTGGTTTGTTAAGTATTATGTTCTTTTGTCAATTATAGTGATTTTTCTCCTCTTGTCTGGTTTGTTATATCTCGTAATATAGTTAATCAATAGCTTCATGTTAGTTGCCATTGCAATGTCATCTATATCTAATTATATAATAAGTTTATGACTCCTTTAGTATTTGAAGAATAAAGTATATAAAATTTTATAAGACCTACTAATATTTGAAAAATACTTCTTGATTGAAAAAAGTTGTTTAATATGTTCTTCAATGGGAAACCAATTGGTGTTTTTTTGATAGTTAAGTCTCTTGTTAATATCAATTCAAGTGATTCATGTAAGTTTATGAATTTTGGGTTAATTTTGTTTACTTTTCCATTTAAAATGAAAACAGCTAGATCTTTTTGAAGGATATCTCTGAACTTTTTAATAGTTTCTCCATACGTAACTCATTGTATTTTTTCACCATGTGAATATTATTAACATCAGAGAATATTTTTTTTACCCTGTGAATATTACTAACATCAGAGAATAATGTTTATAAAATATAAGCAATTAATACTAAGCTATTATATTACAGACTTTTATCAATTTTAAGTGATTTAGTCTTCTATCAATTAATGCTACCTCTGTATTTTTGATACACCAATTTATGTGTAAAATTATATGCAATTATTTTTATTTAGACAATGGTATTAAATTTTAATCTATCAATATATTTTTTAAATTTCATGATGTTTTGTAATTTTAAATTTTAAGGGTGTTTCTACAATTTTGAAACTTTGAGGGTGTTAATTGTAAATTTTAAATTTTTAGGGGGCTATTACTAATTTTCAGATTTTATGTTTTTAAGTTTTGAATAATCAGGATGTTTTGTGTAATTTTGAATTATTAAGGGTGTTTTGTATAAATTTTGAAACTTTTTAGTTTTTTTGATAATAATTCATGTATTATCTTTCTCTATCATCTATGAGGCTTAATTGATGTGACAAAGAGTTTTTTATGATGGCTAAATGGGGAATCTATGTTCAAGTTCGATAGTAATCCTTAGAATTCATCTATGTTGTTTGCAAGTTTTGAGGGTATTTTTTTATAAATTAAACTTTTGCGGGTGTTTCTATAATTTTAAAATGTTAAGGGTGCTAATTTTAAATTTTAAATTCTTCAGAGGATACTGTTAATTTTCAAATTTTATGTTTGTTATTTTAAGTTTTGATATGTGACGGTCTTTTGTGTAATTTTGAATATTTGAGAGTATTTTGTGCAAATTTTAAAACTTTTTGGGTTTTTTGTTATTGTTGTAATATTTTATGTAACCTATTAATTTTTTTTTAATTATTGAGCTTTAGTTAATTCGCATGGGATTAAGATAAGATATAATTATGATTATGATAGATTAAGATTTAAATAAAATATTTTAAAATGTGAAAGATAATATTGACAAAGGAAAGATTTTCTGGAGCTCGTGCTTTTAAAGAAAGTATGATATCCATATTATTATTGTCACTATGCAGTGGCAACTTATTGCGCGCTAGTAGATGTTACTATTTACTCTAGGGAAAATTGTCTTAGCAGGCATGCCTTGTTGTGTGTGACTTGCGAGGCATGAGAATCACATGTTGCTCTTTGTTATATATTCTTTTATTCAGGCTAAAAAGAGGCCCTTAAACCAGTTCTCTTTTAGATCAATACCTTTCTGGTTTACTTTAGAAAGGTTTAGACAATAATTGGGTTAGAACCACACCCAGTTTTGATTGGCCTGCCACACACCCAAATAAAGTATAAATATAGAAACTCTTATGTAGACCAATGCCGTTTGTGTAGAGTTGTTTTTTTTCTCCCTCTTTTTCGATAGAGATTTGTGTTTATCTGTGCATATAAAAATGTTACGATACGACTGTAGCCATCATAAACTCATAATTATCGAAGACAACCACTGAAATATGGGATTGGCACTAAACCTAACTCAGTTTTATTCTATCTAGATTAGGAATAAACTGGAGGAGGAATTTGCTCGCTTTGAACCAGTTTAAAGGCTATCTTTTTTATCTAAGAAAAAACTACGCTAATACTAATCAGTTTTTGACAAACTAAACTTTTCCCACATAGACATAATCAATCGTAGCCTGATTTTGAGTAGTTGCCAAACACGGTCTCAACGTTACATGTTATGAATGGATGAGAGCAATCAGAAACCATCCCTCCATGTTGCTTAAAAGAATATTAAAGTATTTTCGAATGAACTAGGTAACAATACACGTGCATTGCACGTGATTAAATACCATAATTATTTATTTTTAGTTTATTTCGTTACTAAAATTTGTTCTTCGATTTCAATTTGATAGTTTTTACTCACTTATATCTCTAAAATTTAATATTGTGATTATTTATCTTTTTTAATGTTTCTTTAA